ACAGATTATTACCTTCCAGAAAGGTTATTAATTTCATGTATATACATTTTTCAAAAACTTTACTGATATTGCGAAGAAGTGCAATAGGTCTGTAGTTGTTAAGCTCACTTTTTTTGCCTTTTTTATATATAGCTCTCACATATGCTATTTTTAAATTATCTGGAAAAATACCCGTTGAAAAACAGATTAATTATATGTGATAAAGGCTCACGAATATCATGTTCTATATGTTTCAGTAATTTAACAGGGATTCCATCTTTGCCTACTGATTCAGTGTTCTTAAGGTTTTTGATAATGTCATATATTTCTGTCGAATCAACAGGTTTGAAAAATATGCTTTGTTTATAAATGGGAGAGGTTAGAAAACCACTTCCATGATTTTGATTTGCAATTTTTGGACAATTATGTTTGAAAAAATTGTTGACTTTGCAAAGTGCTTTTGTTTTGTCATTTTCATTCGGAAAAACATTATCTATTACAGAATCAAGCTGCTTCTTTCCACCACCAGTATAGTTCTTTACTAGATTCCATACTACTTTAGACCTGTTAGAAGATGATTGCAAATATTTTATACTGGCCATTTTTTTTGCTTCCTGTACCACTTTTTTAAGTATTGTGCAGTATCTTTTGTATGTTTCTTTAGATATGATGCCATTCCTTTGAAGTCTGTATAGTTGCTTTTTACGTTGGCTAGATGTTTTTATTCCTAGTGTCATCCAACCCCTTTTTTTGTCAAAGTTTCTAGTCCTTAATGTTTTCATGGGTAAAATTAAATTTATTTGATATTTGATAATATTATTAAAGTAGTCATATGCTTTATTTGGATCGCCCATGGTGTAAAGTTCGTGCCAACTATAATTTTTTAGTTCATTTTTTAACTGTGACAGTTTCACCTCTGAGAAAATTCTCTTCTTGATTTTTGACGTTTTGTTGTCAATACTAGGTAGGGATTTAATTATAAGTAATTGGGCCTCATGGTCAGATAATGAAGATGTTATCCAATAATGTAGATGAATGAGGTGTTATTCTGGTTGGCTCATTTATTTGTTTGTGTAGATCATAAGAGAGTAGGAGATTAAGAAAAGATTGTGTGCTTGAGCTGTCTGCGTTCAATAGATTGATATTGAAATCCCCACAGACAATAACTCTATATTTTTTATATTTCATTTGTATGAGATCAAGTATTTCAATAAGCTGTTGAAAAAATATATTGAGGTCTCCATGAGGAGGTCTGTAGACACAAATTAAAACTAGTTTTAAGGCGCTCTAAGAGCGGTGCCTGTTGAGAAAGTAGCGATTCATGTTGGATTTGAATTGCTGGAGTTTAAATTAATGTAAGCAAAAAAATTCATCAGACTACAGCACTGCCCTGCTAAGCAAAAGTGTCGTATTTACAAAACAGCCATTTTGAGATATGCGGTCAATTGCTCAGTGATAGACGTGTTCCTTGATTAACTTGGACATTACTTACTTTCAACGATAGTAATTTTTCAAATACTCCACGTTTTTCCGCTGGAAAAAACATATACTGCAGAAATTGTGTAACCATTACAAACGAAAAATGCAGTATAATACACGCATATACTGCTTTATTATCGGGCAGTCTTCACATACTGCATTCATGCGTAATAACTCGCTGAATAGTGTGAATGAGAAACTACATTGCAAATCATTTTATATTGCTCCATTGAAATATCAACTAATATTATCATTAATCACATTAATGGGACCAATATTGATTTTTTTCATATCTCTCAGAGTACTCTTAGATATACTCTGCGTGGTTTAGATTTATAAGAATTTTTTTTATAACAATTTTATTTTAATTTTCTCTACGTAGGTTGATTTATTAGATATGTATATACTAGAATAGTTAACTTTCTAATGTTAATATATTGTATAAAAATTGGGGGTTACACGTTGAATAAATAAATAAATAAATAAAACATTAATCAGCGACAGCTGATTAACGGAAAAATAGATTTTTTAAACAGATTGTAATTTATCATGAATTCTCAATTTCTTGAAGGCAAGAGGGGCCTGATTTCCAGCTCTTCCCAAAATCGTTTCCTATTATTTGGAATAACACTATTGAGATTCTTGAGAATACTTTCGCGTTTATCTACTGACACTCCACATGGTGATGATAAAGGGGATGGTGCGGGCATTCTATTGTTTTTCATGTTCTTTTTACATAGAAAATCCAGTGTCATATAATCATCTTTCGCCAAATTGGTTTTACATTTCAGATAATAATTCCCCCTCACTGTTTTTATGTCTACTAAGTAGGTATAATCTATTTTCTGCCTTTTGAATTTTTTGTTGCGACTTGAAATCCTTCCAGAGAAAAAAGTCTGTGTTTCATTTCTTTCACGTCCACTTTTGACTTATTGTCACTTTGAACAGATTCTGAGAAATCCCTGAAGTTGTAGGTTTTTTTCTGTTTCTTCAAAGCAGCTTCCACCTGATGGTGAAAGCTATCAGCTGACATGAATGTGTGACCGGGCACAAAGTACTGTATATCAGTTTCGTCAATGGCCACGTCATCTGAATTTACGACGTATACCAAAAAACTTAGAAAACATCAATTTTTATTTTGGCTGGAGCAGTTGTCCAACCACAGAACAATACGTAGAAGGTACTAGTAATGTCCTCCTTGTTTCGACCAGTGATACCCTCATGCCATAAACGTGCAAGTGGCTTTTGACCTGTTTTTTTTCCTACTTGAACTAAGCTTTTGTTATATACAACGATCGTTTTTGTGAAGATAACTTTTTTGAAACAGTCGACACGTGGCAACATAATTACTTTTTGTAAATATGCTCAAAAACAAAGTGTGCCATCTGCAAATGACTGTTGAGCATGTTCGCAATACAGATTTCGAGCTTTAGTGGCCTTATCTATGTGAATTTTCCAGTTTTGGCATTGTTCACAATGGAGTTTTAGATTTTGTTCTGTATGACCATGTAATTTGAAACTCTCACAATTTTCGCATTCTTCATGGCCTAACAATGCAAACAATATACGCAAGCTCTTAATTTTCTGTGGGTACAATTCATATGATAATTTTAAATCTGGATACTTTTCTCGAAAATCTTTGAATATTATAGAAATATTCACATCACTGGTTAGATATCTAGTCTGTGGTGCATGCTCACGACTATAATGAGATATTGTGGGATTAAAAGATTCTATATGCTGTGTAAATAAATCATCGTGTTGGAATTTATTGCGGTTTTCATGTTGTCCGCGTTTATCTCGATTTGGCTGAAGGCTTCCCTTTTCAGTTTTTGACAAAACTTCTGTTATCACATGATCATTTGTTTTCTTATAACCTAATGTGGTCAAAAAAACACCTTACAGACTTGATAAGTTACTGCCTCAGCTGATGAACTTTCGGCAGAAAAAAAAAAACTTAAATGTATTTTGTTTTTTCTCAGCTTCCGCAGATTTGGGACATCTTTTCACTGCAGAATGCTTGCACTGCACATGGTGGCAACAATTTGTGATTTCTTTTTAATTGATTCAGTTTCATATGTTTTCGTGTTTCCTTATTTACATTATATTTTTTTCTTTTCTGAGATTACCCTCTTTTTTTAATAAATCTGTAGTTTCAGGTGCATTATCTATGATGTTTTGTGATGTTTCTATGACATCAGGTGGATCAGCATTGAATTCACGCTGATTCTCCGAATTGTTTCCTCAGAGTACTAATATATTCTCAGAGTTGGGTTCAGTTTTTTCATTCTCGTCTATTATAATTTCTTGGGGAGTACTTTGCAAAATTATATAATTTTTATTTGTAGTGTTACTCTGTAGCAAGTCATTGTCTACAACAGCATTGTCCATCTGTGAGATTTCAGGATGATTTACCGTGGCAAGTACAGCTGGTAATGATTCTAACCACTGCATGATATCATCTGAAAAATGTAATTTGATGTGATATTGGTTTTGAAACTTGGTAACAATATTCAAAAATTGAAAATAATTAAAATGTTCATCGATTATTGTTGAATTTCTCAGTTACATTTTATTATATTTGAGAATAGATTAATAATTTGTAACAACTAACTACCTTGTGATATTTCTTGTCCTTCCTGCCTCTCTGTTTTCGAAACTTCATGGACATCACAAGAAAGCGACGCCGGGAAAGATTCTTCCAAAACTTCAATTTCTCTCCCTTTTACTGATGGACTACTCATCATTTGTTTAGAGTCTGTATTGTAATGTGCCATAATTTTATCAATACGTCTCAACATCATAAAGTGACTTATGAGTCCTGATAAATTAATACACCGGCGTAAACAATCAAACAAAAACTACTACTTACTTGTAACCTCCAGACAGTTAACAGCGCATCGCGCCATCTCATCAACTTACTAAGCAAAAAGGCAGTAACTCACATGTGCTCAGAAAAAGTACCGTATTCACAGTGAATTTTGTACATATGGCAAACAAAATCAACAAATATTTCCACTCCTGGTGGTATATACATAGTTTTTGCTTGGAAAAGAAGACACAAAATGTTCATAATCTACAACCATCCGAAAATTTCAAAACGACCATTTTTGTACATATGGCACTTTAGCTTAGCAGGGCAGAGTATACCTGGGGTGAAGAAAAATGTGGGTTTTGAATCATGAGTCATATCTTACCCTGTATATCAAGGACCTTATTTTTAGGGCCTTCACTTATTTCTTCAATACATTTTTCTGATTTGGGTTCATGGTAAACATTAATGACATTTTCACTTTTAATCTAACCTATATCATATTTTTCTTCGAAGTTATGGGTAACCATTTCGCTACCAAACATATCATAATTTCCAGATTCACGGACCATTTCAGTTTCACTTGTTTCACATTTCATGAAAATTGTTTTAAAAACCACTTCATCCCCAACAGATTCAAGTTCGCTCTTAATAATTCTTCCACAATCGGTAGCCATTAAGGCTCGCGCAAACCGGAGCGGCCGCGAACGCGGTGGTGGACGCGGTGGCGATGCGGTCGCAAAGCGAACAAAACCACCGCACACCAATGCGTTCAAAGTGTAAGAAACGATATGGATTTTGAAGAGGAAACGTTGCTTCTCGCCATGTTAATTGACGAAGATGGTGAACCTCAAAAGTAAGTATAAACTAATCTTGTTTCTTAATAAATAGGTATAGTTATAAAATTGACCTGTATATTTTTTTGTAGAAAGAAACGAAGAATTTGGATTCACGATATTAACTTAACTCGTGAAATTCAAGGAGAATTTCACACATTATATCACGAACTAAGAGAGGACGAACAGCGCTTTTTAATATATTTCAGGATGACTGTAGAATGTTTCGATGAAATATTAGATCTCATAAAAGAGGACATAACAAAACAGTTTACTCATTACAGAGAACCTATAGGACCAGCTGAACGACTAGCTGTAACACTTAGTAAGTAACTAACGAAATAATTATTTTTAAAACATAATTTTTATTTGTTGAACAAGTAAATAACGAAATAAGTATCTACCTAATTAAGTATTGCACATGTTTTAAATGTTGGACGGGAATTTCGTTAGTGAAGTTCCAAATCTTTCATACCAATCTACAGAAGATTCACTGTCGTGAAAATTGGATTCTGATGATCCCGGTCTGTCCAGAGAAGAAGAATTTTCAGAAATATGCACCACAGGATTGGAGTAAGCCTCAGGTTGTGGAAAAACGTACGAGTTTGTAGACCTGCGTCGCTCTTCCTCATCCAGATGCTCCAATTCTTGCTCCATTAGTAGTTGTGATATTTTAAATTTAATGATAGCCTGTCTTCTTTTTGAAAATTTTTTTACAGTCTTAACATATCCTTTGAATATATCATCAATGTCATCACATGCACTTTCTGCAGTTTTCCTATCAAAATAAGAAATAACTTGCTCTACAGATGATGAAGATGATTGGTGTTTTGCTGGCTGATTTTGCCGTTGGCTTAACTGAGTTGCTGGTGCTTTGCTGAATTCATGTTTTTTGTTCTTTTTTGCTGGTGGCTGATTTGTACCAATTGGCTGACGGTTAGTATTTGTTTGCTGCATGTCAGAAAGTGATTGGGTACTTTCACTAGGTGTCTGTGATTCAACCGAAGGGTCATTTTTATCTGCTGTTTCCTGACATTGGACTTGATTGTGGCCTTCTTCAGTAAGTTCAGATGATGGTGGTTGTCGTACTGACATTACGTTTGAATGTGTTTTGGCAAATGCCAAGGAAGGTCGCAAAAATTCCATTTGTTGAGCCCAAGGCCAAGTTTTATAACGATCCAAGATCTTCGTTTCTTGTCCAGTGGTGGTTTTTTCGGTTCTTAAATATTTACTATAGGAATCGCGTAGGTTTTTCCATTTTTTCTTTATTTCTTCACCTGAAACAAGTTAACATTTTTCTTGATAACATTTTTATTGCTAATCTATTAAAATGCTTTAAGAAAATATTTATTTTTAGGATATCTTGCAACTGGAGATTCATGTAAAACTATTGGCCATAGTTTTAGAATGGGATTTCGAACAGTGAGCGCCATAGTTTTTGAGGTTTGTACTGCGCTTTGGAACCATATGCAACCCTTATACATGCCTGAACCAACTGAAGAAATATGGGAAAAAAGTATAAATGGTTTCTACGAAAAATGGCAATTTCCAAACTGTTTAGGAAGCATTGACGGAAAGCATATTACCATAAAATGTCCGGATAAAACTGGATCTAATTACTTTTGTTATTTGCAAAAGTTTTCTTTCGTTTTACTAGCTATCGTAGATTATGATTACAAATTTATCTGTTTGGATGTTGGAGNCAAATTGATTTGATGTTGTAATTGTTATCTATTAATTATTTTCTATATTTTAGTGAAAAATTCATTAACGATCGTCTACTATTAACGGAGATATAAGAAAAAATATGTCAAAAATATCAGTTTTAATTTTTTCCACTCTCAAATATTCTGTTTTCAAGAAATTAACAGATATTGATGAATTAGAAATGTTCCGTTTCTATTATATTTAGGGCACCCTTAAAATCTACTCAAACTATTATTTCCATAATATGTTACAATCTGGGGTATACAAAAGCGTAGCTAGGAATTACGTGAAACTTGGCAACAGTGGACGGATATTCTCCTCAATCCCAATGTCGATGGTATACGCGTCCAAAACGGTGGATAACTTCACACAAATAAAAATCAGTTAAGAGTTGGTGCTTATCAAAAGAATTTCTTAACAGGTAATCGAAAAGTTCGACAAAGAATTCACTGGTGATATTTCTTTGTAATCTAGTGACTTATTCAGATCTTGAATATTAGGAAGGTCATCATTAAATTGTTTTATAATTTTTTTTTCAATCTCACTGGTATGTCATCACCTCATTATTCAAATCATTTTCGATTAATATTCCGTGGTTATTGAAATATTTTTTGTTTCATGAATTCATAACAGTATATAAGAGATAATTGCTTTTGATTTTCATTCTTTTTTTGAAACGTTCAAATATTCCCAATGATTTTTTTCTGTAGGTATTTCCAAAAATAGAGAGACTTCTGAATGACTTTTTGAAAAGAATGATGTTTAATGCACAAACCAAGGACTCAATACAACTTTCCCCATCACCCATCATATAATTCCTTGCGAAGCACCAACTTTTATCACAAATAACTTTTTTTTTTGAGACATTCAGAGTAAAATAGGTTTTAATTTGTTGCATACTTCTTGTGACATACTGCATTTATATATAACACAATTACATTCATTATCTTGCACACTGTTGATTCACTTTTCTTGACGCAATAAGAATATGATTAAAATAAAAAAATGTAAGGAACCTACATCGGATTCTTGAAGGAAATATTGTAGTTCTATAAGTTGTGATATAAATAAAATATTGCTATCACAGAAATAAGAAATTTCATGTTTACATGTTTCATTTTTTCTGGAAACATAGAGTTTGTGGCCTTTGTGGCTGGATAAAAAAGTTTTTCCATTCCAATACCATACCAAAAACATGTATTCAAGTGTATAATCTTTATACTTACATACTGAATAACATCTGCCAACATTTCTTGGGTTGAAATATCAAGAAATTACACGAAATTTCTTCAAAATTTTGCTTGATTTGAAACTTCAACTAATAATTCACCAGAAATTGGACACTTTTGTCTTTCGATTTAATACTGACAATTCGTCAATAACACTTGAAACACAAAAAATTCATTAACTCACTTCTTAAGTTATCCTAAAAGAACAGTATGAAAAATAAATGTGGAATTAAATATAAATACAAATACACCCTGTGTGGTCTATGATTACAGTTTACTGTACAAGATGTGTTTTGTTGGCACTCAGATTACAGATTAGGTCATTTCCGTCAAAAGTTATTCGTTATCTAAGCTCTTTGTATTCAGATCTAACAGAGAGCGCGAATAACTTTTGGCATAAATGATATATTTGGAATATGATTGATGCCAACAAAACACATCCAGTACGGACACGCAGAATGGTCACATACTTTCATTTATTACTTCTTGGAAATTCCGACTTTGAGAGTTTCTGCAGATAGTATCGGTAACGAAAAAATTGAAGTACCGTTCATAACAAGGAATGCTACCGCATCCGATGCCAATAAAAAAAAAATTTTGAATTTCGAAGCAAAAAGCAAATCGAACGCGAACGGGCACGTTTATAAAATTAACTGTTGATTAGATACATCGGCAGACCGTTAGTAAATTCCTCGATTACTCCATCGATTTGAAGGACAGCATAGGTCCATCTTTAGAAATTGGAATGAAATGTTTATTTTCCAATTATTTGTTAATAAATTCAAATTCCAAATTACAATTTTATGTTGACTTCATTTTAGAAATTTCGACTTGAAACTAAAAATATTTCAATTTCTAGTCGAAAAGTCGAAATTTTGAGATTGAAGTCGAAATTTCAACATTCGAAATTTCGAGAGTAAAGTTTAATTCCAACATTATAGTCAAAATTTCGAGAAGGAAGTCGAAATTTCGAGAATAAATTCGAAATTTCGAGAATAAAGTTGGAATTTCGAAATCAAAATCGAAATTTCAAGTATAAAGAAAATATTTCGATTTTGAAGTCAGAGTTTCCAAGAAACAAATAATAGGAATATATGCCCCTTTCGTTTCCGTACACCTAGAAATAGTGAATAACTTTTGGCAGGAATAGGCAAGTTTCCAAATTCATCATAAAAATTATGATAGATGGCTCTATCATTGTCTATATAAATCTTCAGACAATGGTTCTATCTAATAAAAACACGTTAACGTTCCGATTGGACCATTTGCTACGCGATGTTTTTGAACAAGTTAATTAAATTTACAATAGGGTTGCCGAAAATCAAAAACACCACTAACATGCCCGACTAGGTCAGTGGTTTGCACAAAGTCGTGGGTGCAACTAATTAAAAGAAAAACAATGATTTTTAACTAAATGGGGAAGCGCCACCAATTTTTGTTGGCCAGTTAAAAATCGGAAAACTGCCCAGTTATTGGGGAAGCCCACTATTGAAATATTTAACTTCTCATAAAAGTAATAATTCTATTTGCAATGACTAAGGAAGTTTATTACAATAATAAAAAGAAGAAATACAGTGACCCCTCTGTTTGCCGATTACTCACTTCAATTGCTAGATTACCACTATCATAATACATTCGCTAATATGTGCTAATATGTGACGTCACGTAAAAGCTTACACCACTCCTCTCAATGAGGTAACTTGTACATTTTATTATAGGAAATAAATAAACACCGGGTTCTTTATTCAAATAACTTAGTCTAAACTTAGCTGCTTTTCGGGTGCTCCTTTTTCGTAAGCTGCCAGGGAATGAATACTGATCCGGCAGTATCGGTGGATACGGATGTAGTAGGAATCTGTTAATATTCCCAGTGGTAATTATTAGTAAAGGTAACGATCAGGAAACTTCTTCAAGAGACTGATCTGGCAATCGATTTCAATTTCCCAAATTCAAGCTGATGCAAATACGCCTTTCTTAGGAATATTCTAACACCCTGAAGAAAAATATTCTCATGACAACATCGTAATCAAAAGGTAAGAAAAATAAGGACAAAATTTATTATGAGTTCCATAGCTGAGTTGAACAAGGTTGTTTGAAAATACTGTACTAACCTCCTAATAATCGAGGGTGTTTCCAACACAAAACAGACAAAGATCGTCCTCTGAGAATTGAGAGAAAATACTGACTATTTGCCCTTTTTATAAAAATCCTGCTTTTGCAGCGGTGGTTTCCAATATTGTCCCAAAATACTCCAAACTTCACAATATCAAAAAGGAACCACAGTTGGCTGAAAATTCGAAAATCCCTTCTAGGTAGTTAACGAGCGAAATAATTCAACCAGGCAATCAGTTCATTCAGCAATTCACGATCGAAAAATATCTTTTCGCCAAAATTTCCGGCCTTATCCTTATGTCCTTGGGTGTGAGAAAAAAAGGAACACAACCTATTTACCGACCTAGTCGGTGTCATAGGCGGGTTAGAAAGGTTTTAAATATACATAAATTCGCATGTGGAAATGAATAAACTAACCGATTATTAAAAGTATAAATAAATTGTTTAATTTATAACAAAGCAAAATTGTATCGTAACACATTGGATGAATCCATCAGCAGAGAGGAACCAACGGATCAATTGGTGGATTCATCGGTGAATTATAGAACTCGTTTGATGACCTAATCTGGGTGCCAACAAAACATATCTGATGTGAAAACGATTATTTACACAGTCGACCTGCCAAAATTACTCAAGATAGCGTTACGCAGCAATGATATTAGGAATTTATTTTTTTTATGCTTCTCTTATTAACTCACCTGAGAAGGATAGGTAATATAAATATTTTTGTCCTATTCTATTGAAATGTTGATTTTTCTGTTGAGTCAACACAAAAAATTACTATACAAACCCAACGCAATTTCAAATCTATTCTGAAAAAATACATGTACATCTTGGGATGTTAGAACTACTATTGAAAATTCGAGGCAATTCTAGTTCTATTTTCTTTTTTTTTGTCACTGCTCTATGGCGTTTCCACGCATCGGTCCTTACATATCATATTTCAAAGAAGAAGAGCACTTAAAATGGCATAATATAAGAAGACCAATCGTTTCTACGCTGGACTAGAACTAATGACAGTAATGACGTATGACTTGATTTTTTCATTCAAAAGTAGGTAATTTGAATTTCCCGCCCCTTAAGGTTAATTTTTATATGACATCATTGGCTTACTGATGTCGCAAAAGCTACAACCTGAATAATGTAGTAATCTAGCACCTTACATCTAAATCTGGTATGAAAAACAGTTTCTAGTACAATGAATTTCAAGCCAGAAACATCGCTGACGCCAGCAAAAGGATTATCCTGCGGTGCCATCGAATGAAATGGCAGGAAAATGCAGTAATGGTAACCGTCACCGAAATGATGAAAAGTGTTTATATTTAGGGTTTCGTTCCACATGGGGTACTGGTAAGACTTGTCTGATCGTCAACGTCACACCAGTCTACGAACACATCAATCAATTTTGTTCATAGATGTATTTTTGTCTCTTCTAACCATTTACTTGTTATATACTGTTTGGAACCTTCGGTGTAGTAATGAATATTACTGGAGTTTTTTCCCAACACCAAATCGTTATTTTTACACCTCGACACGTGTTTCGATCACCAAGTGATCATCTTCAAGAGGAAGATAAAACTAATAACTACTCAAAACTAAAGCTACTTATACTAATCAGGTACATCATACAGGTAGGTAATCAGTAATACCACCCATACAAGTGTACCACCCTAAATTAANTTGTAAATAATAGAAAGGCCAATTGTAAAATTAATTTAGGGTGGTACACTTGTATGGGTGGTATTACTGATTACCTACCTGTATGATGTACCTGATTAGTATAAGTAGCTTTAGTTTTGAGTAGTTACTAGTTTTATCTTCCTCTTGAAGATGATCACTTGGTGATCGAAACACGTGTCGAGGTGTAAAAATAACGATTTGGTGTTGGGAAAAAACTCCAGTAATATTTCTTCTAACCATAATGAAACTCGCTCAACAATTAGCAATATTTGAAACTAAATGAAGACAACAAACTTAAAAATCTTCAAAGGTCGAGGGCAGTGTTAGCCAATTTTTTCGTGCTATCATTTTTTTTCACAAAAGTTTAGTATTTTTGATAAAAAAGTAATGAAACTACTATCAAATTACCTTTCAATAAAGAATGGCTTTTATATTCGAAATTCACAAATAAGTAACCTCTTTTGTTACCATTTTGGTATGATTTTTCTATGAAACCACTATATTTTTATTTTATGTTATTAATTTGATTACCTACATATACACGCTTTGTCAACAAAATGTTATTCTAGGATATTGAAGCATATTTTTATTGATTGATTTATATCTCTCAACTCTGGAATTTGTCCATTTAAATATTAGTTTGAGATTAAAATTTATAATTACAAAATGAAAATTATTTACTGGGTAATATATTCTAAGTTTTTTAAACAAGAGCTATCGTTGATTAAACGAAAACGTATGCTGTTTTGTCTTCTTTTTTCAATTGTAGAAGAAAAATATGCTATTTACCGTGCGTTCCACTAATCGCTCACAACGATCAAAATGTTTCTTTAGTCGTTCCACATAACTACCGCGGTCGTTGTGATCGCGGCGAAAACGTCACTCATGACGTCATTATCTACGCTCACGACAAGCTCACAACGACCCATTTGAAGAGGTGGGTCAAAGTGGACGTTGAGAATATGTCGGCGCAATTTTTGAAATAGGACATTCAAAGCCTAAAGATTGTGGCAAAAAATTACCTTATTTTATTCAGAAATATAAATTCCAGTGGAAGCTATTGTTTTTAAAACCGATGCTCCTCATTTTCAAAATCTAGAGTGCAATATGTGATAGGAAATCATATACCTGAAAGGACTTGTAAATCCTTCATCTGAATAACGATTTGTTACATTCTCATAATCAATAATACGTGGTCTTAGTTTTCGGTATTCATGATTACAACATTGTAAAGTTTTATTCCACTCTTCATTTGAAACTCAGAGTAATAAAAAGTAATTATATCACTACTCTGAGATTTGAATTAGTTTCTGCAGCACTATTACGGCGCATCCACAAATATCCAATTACTGTACTGAAAAGTCAGCTTGCAATTATTGAAACTAATTGTTAAAAACTTAATTTTGATATCGCCATCTGTTGTTTACATAAACGTCCAAAACGTTCTATAATCCATTTCATCTGAGTTTACGACAGTAACGGTCGCAAGCAAGTGGAACGGGAATTACTGCGGTCGTGAGGGTAATCGTTGGGAACGTTTAGTGGAATGCACTATGAAAAGTGTGTGTTTCATCTATGATGCATAGAATATCAATGGTGTGATCACTGGAACCCCTTTCCCGTGTAAAATATTCTGTCAAAAACTCTCGAACCACGGCATTCTTGATAAAGAGAATAATAAATTTCAGTATTTCATTCACAGATGTGCTGAGTACAACTCAAGTGACGCAAATTGTCAATGTCAAACTGTCACTTCAATTTTGAATGTTATTTACATTTTGGAATGATACTATACTAAAACTCCAAAATAGCATTTCTAATTGATTTGTTACTGCCTTTTCGTCACTTCCACAATCATAATGAAACAGTTGAAAACTATGCAAGATAACTGTTGCACCAGTGTTAACGCCACCGAAAGTTCGTTACACTCTTTCTCGACAGTACGGGAGCAGTTACTGGAGTGAAGATGGAATAATGTAATCGAAACGTCGAAGCGAGGACACGGAGAAACTCACTTGAAAACGAGCTGCTATTTCCAAATAAGCGAGACCTTTCTTTGGCTAGCTAGGTGATAACAATCAACTATTGAATTACAAGACAAACATAGTTTTCAAAAATATATTAAAACAAATAAAGTCGTATACAATACTGGTCTCAAACCGGTAGATAACGGACATAATTTAAGGTATATGAGGCAAATAATCATAACTAAGCATTATATGTCATGAACCAGAATATCTAATCCTGTAATACTAGTATTTTGTCCTCAAAAAAAATAGTTTTCTATCAATTTCATTTTTGTGAATAAATCGCACTAAGGCTTATCAAAAAACATATCTACAAAACTGAAAACACATCAATATTATACTTGCTTTGGCGAATAAATCAAGCAAAAACTCGTCGTGGGTCATTTCTACTACAAACATGAAATGACTACCATTAGTAAATCATTAATAACATATTTTCTTGAACGTATGATGTAAAAGCATTATGAATGAGTTTTTTCATGAGCTTTCAAACTCTTGTTTTGAGTAAATGACTTGAAGCAGATTTTACACTGAAATGGCTTTTCACCAGTATGTGTCCTTTTATGTGTTTTCAAACTACTACTTTCAGTGAATGACTTCAAGCAAATTATGCACTGAAATGGTTTCATTCCAGTATGTAGCCTTTCATGAATTTTCAAATTATTATTGTGAGTAAATGACTTTTGGCAGATTTTACATTGAAATGATTTTTTTCCACTATGAGTTCTTTCATGTGTTTTCAAACTACTACTATGAGTGAATGATTTCAAGCAGATTTTGCACTGAAATGGTTTTATTCCAGTATGTATTATTTCATGAATTTTCAAAGAACTACTGCGACTAAATGACTTGGGGCAAATTGAACATTGAAATAATTTTTCGACAGAATGTATCTTTTCATGGGACTTTAAGGAACTACACAAAACAAATGACTTTGGGCACATTTTACATTGAAATTTTATCCCAGTATGAGTTCTTTCATGTGCCTTCAAATTACTTTTATTATTAAACGGTTTCAAGCAGATTTTGCATTGAAATGGTTTTTCACCAGTATGTGTTCTTTCATGAATTTTCAAATAATTAGTGTTAACAAATGACTTCAGACAAATTGTACACTGAAGTGATTCATCACCAGTATGCGTTCTTTCATGTGATTTCAAGTTACCACTCTGAAAAAATGACCTCGAGCAGAATTTACACTGAAATGATTTTTTTCCAGTATGGATTCTTTCATGTCTTTTCAAACTACTATTTTGAATAAATGACTTTAGGCAGATTTTACATTGAAATGGTTTTTCCTCATTATGAGTTTTTTCATGGATTCTCCAATAACTACATTTAGTGAATGACTTTGAGCAGATTTTGCACTGAAATGGTTTTTCACCAGTATGAATTATTTCGTGCTCTTTTAAATGACTTCTTCGACTGAATGACTTCAGACATATTTTACATTGAAATGACTTTATCCCAGTATGAGTTCTTTCATGTCCCTTCAAATTACTGTTACTAATAAACGATTTCAAGCAGATTCTGCACTGAAATGGTTTTATTCCAGTATGTGTTCTTTCATGAATTTTCAAAGAACTACTGTGAATAAATGACTTGGGGCAAATTGTACACTCAAATGATTTTTCGACAGATTGTGGTTTTTCGTGGATCTTCAAACTGGGCCTCTCTGTTGTATGTACCATCTCAAGTTTCCCGATTTGATCGTTTGCAGTGCCAGACTCCTTTTGACATAACGCTGATGACTTCTTTTTACTGAAGCTATCTTCTTCCTTCTCGATGACTGTTTCATCCTCTGTTTTGATAAAAACGTTCCCGGAATCTGTACAAAAATTACTTTTGAACAAAAAACCAAACAAAATTATTTGTTGAAAAAAATTCATTTTTCTCTTTTTTACTCTTGATTTGACACNTAATTAATAGAAGATATAAAGCTTCAAATCCTTTTTGTGAAATTTAATATTAAAATACTGAAAATAAAGGAAAATTAGTTGCATCATTCAAAAATATATATATGTGTGTATATATTCGTTTTGTTGAACAAGCCTTTAGAAATGAAACTGAAAGGAACAAAACACTTCTGGAAGCTGGAAAAACAAAGAAATGATAATATCCGAGCTCAAGGCACAAATATAAATCCTTAAAAAAGAACTTGGGAATAAAAACAGGCCAAAAAACAGCGTAGGTACTCAAACAGTTACAAATTGTACAAAAATATATAAATAAACCCAAACGACTCATCACTATGTGATACCAGTGGCGTAGGTGAAATTATAAAACCATTTTCTGTGGGCACTACACAGGATGGAAATAGAAATGAGAATAAATGGACGAAGCAGAAAAATCAATTTGTTAGTTTTTTATGTCTTCTGCTCGCGATGTCCATGAAATCATGAGAAACAAATATAAATTAGGCCATGCTAACGAAATATTTTTCCAACCTGATCAAACTCTCTATCACAAAAAGCAACTTGACTCGGTGAAAAATGAACTTATGGTACGTCAACAGGCTGGTGAGCAGAATTTGTCTATAAAATACTTCAACAATACACCAAAAATCATTAAAAAAAACTAAAACCTGGCTCACACCTAAATTCACCGACGCCGAACTTGGGCTTTCCAACTACAACGTATATAGCTCTAGTGAATCCAGTATCTTCAACAGGGGCGGTGGTGTACTGATAGCTACCAAAAAATCATTTCCTGTTTATCTAATTCAGTCTGATCCTTCGATCGAACAATTGTTTGTTCTCTTCAATAACAATTCAATTATTGGTACGGTATATTTCCCACCTAAATCTTCACCAACTTTATACCAATCTTACTTTGATCAGCTAATTATCTTGAATGAGCAATATAGTAATGCAAACATTTTTTTAATTGGCCATTTCAATCTTCCATCAGCATTATGGGAGGTAGAGGATTATTGCTCTGTTACTTCTCCTCTGCCTCTATCCACTCAATCTGGATAGATTCTATTGAAACGATATCCAATATGTGTGCTTTTCTCAATCTTTTTCAATCCGACGAAATTTTCAACGATAGAGGAGTTACCCTTGATCTCATCTTATCACCAGTAGATCTTACGGTATTAAAGGCTGTCGACATCTTAATTCCTGAAGACTCGCATCATCCTTCACTTGAATGTTATTTGCCACTCAAAATCTCAAACGAATATTCATCTGGGGAAGAATATTATTATGACTTCCTCCTCGCTGACAATGCATCGATAAATTCGACCCTTGAACCAATCGATTGGGATTGTGCACTACATGGAAAGGAGCTTTCTGATATGATTTCAATATTTTACGACATTCTTTATTCTATCATTGATCGCTTCGTTCCTCAAAAAAAATCTGTGAAAGGAGATTTCCATGCTGGCACTCTCCAGAGCTGAAGAAACTACTTTATGAAAAGAAATTAGCTCACAAGATCTACAAGAGCGCAAGGTGTCCAGAAAGCTATGCAGCATTTAGCAATTTAAGATCAAGATGTAAATCCTTATTCAGACAATGTTATACAGATTACATCCAACACACTGAACATTCTATAATTAATAATGTTGAATCTTTTTGGAAATGTGTAAGCAGCAAAAGGGAAAATAACACTATACCTAATACAATGACTTCTGGTACTCATACTGCTACCAATGGGATCGATATTGCCAACCTTTTTGCTAATAAATTTTCTTCCGTCTATACAAGTCAATCTTTACATCCTTATGATACCAATATTACAACCATGGTTAATGTGTCCAATTATCATATTGAAATCTCTAAAATGTACGAAAAACTGTCTGAACTTAATATCAACAAAGGCCCCGGTCCTGATGGAATTCCTCCAACTTTTCTTAAATCATTAGCTTTATTTTAGCTCGACCACTTTTCTATATATTTAATAATGCCCTATCATCTGGCAAATTCCCGGACTATTGGAAAACCTCATATGTCACCCCAATATATAAATCAGGTCGAAAATCCGACGTGTGTAATTATCGTCCAATTTCTATTCTTAGCGCAATCCCTAAAGTTTTTGAGAGCATCATTTTTGATTATCTTACTTATGACTGCTCCCCAATTATAGGGACCCAACAATTTTATTTCCTCTGAGCCTCACCAATTTCGATCAACTTCACTTTTTGAGTTCATCAAAAATAATTATTTTATGGACTTTTCTGATGTTTCCGTCGGTAACATCTTCTTCGGGTCGTCCACTGGGTGCATCGTCCTCGGTTCTCATTTCACCTCGTTTAAACTTACGGTTGGTTTTTCTGGTGTCAAGTCCGCATAATGTTTATCAAGCGAAGCCTTGGCTTCAACAGTATCATCCATTTTCTTCAAACTAACAAAAATTACTTCACTCAACATTTTCTATCCTACAAAGTAAAAGTCCGATAGCTGCAAAATTTGTACACGTCTTTTGAAGGTTGGGGTTAACAAAATCAGTGCTAATTTAAAATTCAATGTATGGTGGTAGTGCAATGAAATTGTTAAATTGACCAAAATAATGTTAAGAATATTAAGAGTTATTAGCAACTATATGATCTAATTTTTTTTTCTATCATTATTAGGATAGTTAGTTATTTCACCCAGTCCCTTCATGCCAGGAATGGAAAAAGGGGTTATGTACGTATGAAATGAGATTTTTATCAAAAAATGGTATAATAGCA